AGCAAAACATTTTAGCAGACTGTTCCTTTAAATAAAAAGGTATAAATCACCAGTGAACACATGAAAATATTGTCTAGGTCAGGGGACAACAAAATAGGGCTCATGAGGAGATTTCAGTCATCAACCTATTTTTATAGAGCTTTATTGCAATGAAGCAATTCTTATTCAGTTATGTGTTACCAATGGCTTCTTTCATGCTACAATGGCAGAACTGAGTAGTTGCTACTTAGACTGAATGGCCTGCAAGGCTGAAAATATTCACTATTTGACATTTTATGGAAAAATTTGCTGATACCTATGTCATTAATCATCAGGGAAGTACAAGTTAATACCACAATAAGATACCAAACATAGCTATTATGTTGGCTAACAATAAAAAGATGACTACACTAACTGCTGACAAAGATGAAGTACGATTATCTAATTTAGAATCTATTTAAGGACCTATTCTCCTTCGTGTGAAGAGCTCTCCCTGATGTGATGCTGATGTTAGGAGAAGAAGGAGATCCCATGCAGTGACTAGGGCTGAGGGCGAATTTTTGCCTCTGGAGGAAGACCAGGGCAGTTGTCGTGTCACTGAGCTTATTTGAATAGCCCTATTCTATTCTGGTACCTCCAACATCCCAACCTGTTCCTCCAGATTCGCCTGAGACACACCTCAGCATATACCAGCAGAGGTTTCATAGCTGACCTCATTAAGAGCAAATCATCTTCTCTCTGAAAAATTCGTTGGCTAAAGAGGAGGATTCAACCAATTATTTCAGTGCTCTGATTGGTACAGGGGTTGCTCGGCACAAAGTTTTAAGAAGCTGGAAAATTGTTCAGTGTAAACTTCCTACATGGCCACAGAGGGGCAATGCTGTTTCAAAGAAGATTAAAGTTTTTCTCACATACACATATTCATTAAGTAGCCAGAGATTATCCTTAAAAAGTCCAGTAAATTATCTCCTACTTTGCTCTAATTTTTTAATTTACATATATACATATAAATTATGTGTGTAAACAGCCATCCATCTACCTAAAAATTAATAGTATCTGTATTTATTCTAGCCTAACAGGGTTGAAAATTATGAGGTTGAAAGTAGCATTTCCTTGACTGATACATGTCATTCTTCAAGGCCATATTAATTCCTCTAACTTAAATTTATAGTATTTTCACCCATATACAGCCCCTCCTCTAGCCATACTGATTTAATCTGTTCCTAAAATTCCCTTATCTATTCTTCTTACTGGGAAATCTACCAGAGCTTAAGGCCCAGTTCAAGCATCTCCTCCATCTGAACCCTTCTCTGACTGAGTCTAGAAGCACAGTTTATCACATCATCTGACACAGAGGTCTCCTTGGAAGGTTTTATTTGCCTGGACTAGAGGACTGGGACTAGGTTAACTCAAGATTGAAACTGTGTGTCTCTTTGATGAATGACACCTAAGTACTGCCTATTTAGTAGGCACTCAGTAAATATATATTGAAGACATGCATAAATAAATGAATACATGAAAAAGAAAATAAAGCACATAAAAAAACAATTTTAAAAAAATCATCTTAGGGTATTGGAATACAAAAGAATTAGATTCTAGATTGAAGACTATTGTCTACTGTTAGACTGGGATGATATTTTCCTTTGAATGTATGTA